CGACAGTGTTGTGCATTAGACCGTCTAACAGTGTTCTGTATCATTCTGGTCTGCGTTTATTCACATTACCGAGGCTTTAAATGTTAATGCAGTGACGTGTTTCATTCATTTTCTATGATATCTTGGCAGTGTAGTATAATCTCCGGTGCAATATTTCAGTGTTTCCTTTTATGTATTACATTATAACTTGGCTTCATACAACCGTCAGAAGCATTCCTGATAAGGTCAGATGACCTATGAGGTAACACATTCAGTAATCCATGTACATGTGATTTTGTTACATGGCAGCGTGACTTGGTTGTTCAAGTGATAACAAGACCAGGATTCACGATGATGGTTGAGTGCAGAGGAGTTCACATGGCGTGCTCCCTGTGAACTCCTCTGCGCTCAAACATCATCATGAATAGGAAAAAGACTAAAATACGAACATAATCAGATTATATAATCAAAGGTCACCATCAGTAACACACTACAACGGCAGGGAATCAAATCCCGCAGTGCCAGACGTGTTCCGCTGCTGAAGCCAGTGCATGTCCAGGCCCGTCTGAAGTTTCCCAGAGAGCACATGGATGATGCAGCAGAGGATTGGGAGAATGTCATGTGGTCAGATGAAACCAAAGTAGAACTTTTTGGTATAAACTCAACTCGTCGTGTTTGGAGGAAGAAGAATACTGAGTTGCATCCCAAGAACACCATACCTACTGTGAAGCATGGGGGTGGAAACATCATGCTATGGGGCTGTTTTTCTGCCAAGGGGACAGGACGACTGATCCGTGTTAAGGACAGAATGAATGGGGCCATGTATCGTGAGATTTTGAGCCAAAACCTCCTTCCATCAGTGAGAACTTTGAAGATGAAACGAGGCTGGGTCTTCCAACATGACAATGATCCAAAACACACCACCCGGGCAACAAAGGAGTGGCTCCGTAAGAAGCATTTGAAAGTCCTGGAGTGGCCTAGCCAGTCTCCAGACCTCAACCCCATAGAAAATCTGTGGCGGGAGTTGAAAGTCCGTGTTGCTCGGCGACAGCCCCAAAACATCACTGCTCTCGAGAAGATCTGCATGGAGGAATGGGCCAAAATACCAGCTACTGTGTGTGCAAACCTGGTAAAGACCTATAGTACACGTTTGACCTCTGTTATTGCCAACAAAGGTTATGTTACAAAGTATTGAGTTGTATTTTTGTTATTGACCAAATAGTTATTTTCCACCCTGATTTACGAATAAATTCTTTACAAATCCTACCATGTGGATTCATGGATTTTTTTTTTCACATTCTGTCTCTCACAGTTGAAGTGTACCTCTGGTGCAAATTACTGACCTCTGTCATCATTTTAGGTGGGGGAACTTGCACAATCGGTGGCTGACTAAATACTTTTTTGCCCCACTGTATTTAACTGATAAATTCAGTTAAATCCTTTAATCCTTTTTTGCAATTGAATGCATAAGTGACATTAAGTTACACTACCTATACTGTATGTGTGTGTGTCTGAAGCACACAATAACTGAGTGAATGCTGCTCTTTGTTTGTCAGTCAGGATTTGAAGCCTCCAGCAAAACTAAGCAAAGATTCAACCAGCCATAAGAGCAGGCTCTTCTGCAGAGTACTCGCACTTGCTCATCACCGAGTGCGGTCATCTCTTTTTTTCTTTCTCTCGTCTTCTTGCTCATTTTGTTTCTTTTCCCCCTCTCCTCGCACAATTGCTGCTTCAATTCTTATCATGAATTCATTCAGCTAAAGTTCGCCTTAGACATTTCTTCTCATCACATGGCTCATTAACTTATAAATTATGGAAATTATTTTCAGCTGCATACTACATTTTGATTTAGTTTGCTTGGTGTCATTTATTTCAGGGCAAACCATCATGTCTTGGGTGTGATTTAAAATGAACTCAGTTAAACTAGGTTTGTCTCAAAGGCTCTAAGGCTTGTTGCAAGCAGGAGACAATATCAGCAGGTCTGTAAAACTCTACAAATGTAATTTAATGATTTGCATATATTGTACCTTTTTGATCTTTTATTCTTTTAATCACAGAATAATAACCCAGTGCCGTGGCCTCAGAACCATAAGCCACTCAAGCTTGCTTTATTACTCCATTTGATTATTTATTTATTTAAATTATCTTGTGTAGTAAAACTGAGACTTGTGATCAGGTAAAGTTGGGTGTGCTCAGGGTGGTAGCTGGTAGTAGGGGTGAGTGTCAGCATGAGTTGTCAATGTTAGCCCTGATGACCTGTCCAGGTTATACCTCAGCTCTTGACCTGACAACTGGGATAGACTCCAGATCTCCCAAGACACCGAATTAGAACAACATGGATAGATGGCTGGAGAAAGACTGTATCAAAGAACTGGTTCATTTTGAATATTATTTTCTTTTCTATGCATCTCTGACATTTTTTAAAATAAGCATTTCCATTACTGAACAAATATCAGATTTATTATTAAAGAATAACATCATGTAGCCAATAAGTACATTTTTAGGTAGAAATGTTTGCTGGTTCATCAGATATAAATCCTCTATAGATTGCATGTTTAAAATGCTCTGGATCATGCTAACTAACCTGTGCCTATTAGCGAGAGCCTCTTCTGTTACAGAAGTGTTTTGGGGGGAGATTCTACAGATCTAATGTATAGATAACACATTATAACATTCCTTATATAATAAAACCATGCAGAAAATGCCTAGTGAGGGTACAGAGCAGTCCAGAGCTAACTGTGCAAACTTTATCAATAAAGAAGTAGCTAAGCATCATTTTCATCTGTATTTTCTTCCCCTTCCTCTGCTTTCACTGCCTGTAATTTTATGACAGATGTTTCACAAAGAAGATGAACAGCTGGATGCTGTGAGGCTGTTTATTCAGCCTTTTATTTTTCTCTCTTCTGTCTCTCCTTCTCTCTTCCCCTTTTTCTTCCATCCATGTTTTTCTCTTAAATAAGTACCACATGGACCAAAGATCCCAGTTATGGCAATATCTAACCTGTCAAAGGTGAAATGAAAACATAATCTTCCCAGTCTTTAAAGATATTGCATATAAAGCTGAAACACACTTTAAATATAAAGATACACTACGTCTCTGAAGACGAATATCTAATAAAACATCTGTGAGTATGGACCTCTTTATTCTCTCCATCTTTTTTCTCTTCACTTCAATCCCCTCTAATTTTAGATAACTGTGCGCTTTCAGTGATTGATGAATGCGTGTTTCTGCAGCATATGTGTGTGCATTCATTTGTGTCTTGTGTGTACATGAGTGTGGGATTACAAAAGGCGCTTTCTCTATTTGCCCTCAGTGTAGAAGCACATTACATAACTTTATAAACCATGCCTGTCCTGGACACATATACATTTACACGTGTATGCAACCACACAGTCACACAGAATAAAGCTTTATATCTACATAGGCATGCATTTCCTGCACCTGTTCATTTAGAGCAGAGACAAGCAAATGAATGCCAACACATATGCTCATGCAGAAACATAAAGGCTACACATGTGCTTCCTCACTCTAAGCAACAACAGGATGCACATGCAGATGGGCACAGAGAGTAGACTCAAATGCCAACGTATTCTAAGCAGATGAACAGAAGAAATCTCTAATTCTAATATATATAGATATATCTCGGCAGTACTACAAGTCCTGCAGCACTATACGCTACATCATCTAGGGAGGGATGATACTATCATGCTTTGAATTAAGAGAGTAAAGTGATGCACAGGGAAATAGGGAGAGATTCATGAAAGGATAGTGGAGGAAAAAATAGCAGGTTAGATGATGTGAGAAGGAAAGCAAAACAGCAATGTGTTAATTTTATGGGTGATGATGTCACTACATTTGAAGAGCGAGAAAGATGTAGAGGAGGTCAAAAGCAGGGCATAAAGATTTGTAGAAGCAGAGGCAGAAGTCTCAGGCAAACATCAGGATAGAGTTAGGAGGATAAAAGTTTACATATTACGGCGTGACGGGTGGGAAGTGAAAAGTTAAGAGGCAGAAGACCTGCTCTGATTCTTGTTTCTTTATTTCTTTGCAAACATCTTCTCTTTCCATTCCTTTACTTGTATGTTTCTGTTTTGGGGCTTGTAACTAATAATATAGTAGTTATTTGTGAATTACTAATTAAGCATTAGTATTAGCGGTTAGCAGTTTTGCATCAAAGCAGAAGGTTTTGGGTTCAAATCCACTGACCTTTCTGTGTGGCGTGTGCATGTCCTGTCTGTGCCTGCATGCCTTCTCTGTGGTTACTCTGGTTTCCTCCCACAGTCCAAAGACATGCATGTTAAGTTAACTGGTGAATCTAAAGTGTAAATCGTTGTCTGTCTCTCTGTGTTGGCCCTTCGACAGACTGGTGACCTGACAGCTGTGACATGCTCCAGACCCATCTTAACCCTGAACTGGATGAGCAGGAGGCACTGTTGCTGTGTATTAGTGCAAATACTTGACCAACCCTTTGTTCATGTTTTAACAAAGAGTACGGCGGTCTTAAACAATGACTGAGACAACTTGCATGTTGAGACAGTTGTCTTCTGCATGGATTCACAGAGCATGACGCACACAAGCTGCGAGACATGCTATCTTACACACATGTTCTCTAATTTGTGCATATGGCTTCACTCGTACATGCAGATGAATGCTGTTAATATTTGTACACGAGCTCCCGAAATGCCAACATGCATTTGACTAAGCAAGCTGAGTCGAATGCCGAGTGCTCACAGTGCCGCTGGTTCAAATCTGTTAGTGGATGCATCTCAAACCTCCGCCCTATTGCTCTTCTCATTTGCGGCTGAACAACATCATTTTTCACTTTTCTCGCCGTCCGTCAGGGCTCTCCTTCACTGATACATAAATAGTCTGTCAGAGTGAGGTTAGAAACCTCCAGCTCAGCTGTTTCGGAGATGAAACCACTCCCACCCTTACCCACGCACATTTTTACATCCATACTCTCACAGTGGGATCTCTATAGCTGTCACACACACACACATGCTCTCACAGTGTACACTCATCTCTCACTTTCACTGGAAAGGATACCTCTCTCTCTCTGTCTCTCTCTCTCAGTGTATACTGTGTCTCTCTCAGATGCAGTTAGGTCTCTCATTCTCATGAAGCGCAGCTCCTCTCTGTTTCTGGATGCACTCTAAGTCAGAGCGTAGGACGAGACAGACCGCATCCTAAGAACTGGTTTCTTTCTTCGCATACAGCCGGCAGTAGGTACAACTCTCTGTTTTCATACTTTCTTTCTAGCTTGTTTGTCATTATATGGTGTGTTTTAGATACATCGATTTTTGTATAAGGATTCCTGGAATCACTTGGAAACTTTTAATCACTCGTATGATCTTAATGGAGATTGCTCTTGGTATCAAAAGCATGACAAAATGTCCCGTGCATCAGATGCAAGGCATGTTAAACTTGGACGAATTTACAGACACTTACAGAGGATCAAGCATGTGTAAGGTGCATTCTCAAATTCAGTATCCCAGCAGCTTTGCACTTGACTTGTTTTGTTACTTTAGAGCGTTTGAGAGTGAACAAGAAGGTGATCTGTATTTTCAGGACCAGCAACAGGCTGAATATGATTGTCTATTTGTTGAGAGTTAGATATGCATTAAGATTATGTTTATTTATGTATTTTAATTTAGGGTTCTATTTAGCTTTTTTCTTGACTGAAGGTGTGTTTCTATCACTGCTAAATCACTTTCTCACTCTGAGTGTGATTGGTGATTGGTATTTCTTCTAGATGTGTGTGGTCTGTAATTAAATCTCAGTTATCTAGTACTCAGTCCGTGCGGTATCCAGTTAGAAGAGGATTAACCTCACTTATTATATGACTTAATTTGCAACATTTCTATTGCAGTTATATCATACTGATCAAGATACAGTTATATATCAGCGTATTTGTGGAGATGAATTCTGCAGATGAATTTAAAGCTGTTTTTTATACCACGCCTACTATAGTATAGTGGCTAAAAAATGAAAGCAAAACAATGAGTTAGATAAATCCAATATTTAACAAAAAATTAACTGAAACAATTCTGATGTGGTTCATGATATACACTCAATGTCTTTCTTTAGATTTCTTTATTTACAGTTTGCAGTACAAGCTTAGATTTTTCTAGATCTTATAATGCACAATCCAGAAATAAACACAGTCGTTTTTAGCTGGAGACACATACAATTCTGAGATTGGGACACAGTGAAAATGTTGAGCTAAAGTGTGAAAAAACAGCACTTAAAGTAAAACTATGAAGATGCTGTAGCACTGAAAGACGTCACTTCCTTATATAACTTTAATGTGACTGAACAGATTGCTGCCTTTTCACACTGCTCAGTGCAGTGACTGTAAGCTTGTTGTGTGTGAGAGTAGATGTGTGGTTAAGTGTGTGTGGCTGGTTGTATGTAAAAACACTGCTGAAAAGTATTGTATTTGTAGTACAATACTGCAGTGGATGTCTTTGGTTCACATCTAAGAGCACAGCATTTGCATGTGCCGCGGTTCATTAATTCATTAATTTGTAACTCATTTGCCGAATCCTTTCTCGTGTCGCCACAGGCTTTTAATATCAGATTTTCCATCCAAAGACTGAGCTTTTTTTCTCAAATAAACAAATAAAGGTAAAATGAAAAAAAAAAGAACTAAAATCAGAAATTAGATCTTAATGTGTTAGCACCCATACAGTACGACCTGACTTCCACTTTCAGTTGACCACGCGGAGTCATAGCGTACAGTATATGAAACTATTTGAATTCAGACTGTGTCATCCTAAAAACAAACTCATTATATCTTTGGATAATTTGTCCTCCAACCATGTGGTGTAATAACACTTGCTCATGCTCATGCTGCTTTTCTTGATGACCTTTTCCTTTTACTCGCAGAATAAGACACTGCCTCTGGGCACAGACTTTCTAATGAAAAAGTGAGCGATTTCACCACTCCCACTGTTACAGTATGCTTTGCCTTCATTTTATATATATATATATATAATATATATATATATATATATATATATATATATATATATATATATATATATATTAGGGGTGCAACGATACACAAAATTCACGGTTCGGTTCGGTTTGATACTTTGGTGACATGGTTCAATAGTTTTTCGATACAAAAAAAAAAGTTCATGCCTTTTTAATTTGTCATTTATTAAAATTATAAATATATATTTTAACTCAAAAGTTTTAAATTTAATGTTGCTGAAACAACAAAATAAAAAACAAAACAAATCTATCTAATCGAGAAATCACTCATCTTTGGAAAAGAGTCGAGCGCAGATCCACTGAGCTCTCAACACAGACAGCATCGTCAGAAGAAAAGTTGATAAAATAAATAAAAAAATTTGTATTGTTCAATACATATGTGTATCGAACCGAAAGCACTCTATCGAACGGTTCAGTATCGATACGAGTATCGTTGCACCCCTATTATATATGTATATGGTTAGATTTTCTGTATGATTAGACTGCATGTTGCTTGGTTTATGATAAATTTCTCCAAACCTGCATTCACTTGTGAAAAATCCCAGGAGGCAGTTTTAATTAAATATAGATATTAGATGGCGTCTGTGGGCACTCACAAAGTTTTCTCATAAATTATGCTGCCACATCTTAATGGTTGCAATGTTTTAAATTCTTCCTTTTTTTCAAGGACGGTATGAAAACATGCAGCTGCTTTTGGATAAGATGAGACAGCTGGGAATGAACGATCGTGTATATTGGAAAACATCATCATACTGAACATACGCTGGATTTAATATGTACACTACAAGCTCTGCGATCTGCTTGGCTGGGACATGTAGCCTAAGCTCTGCTTGATCCCCGTGTGATCAGTGGATTTTTATGCATTGAAATCGAGGATTAGCTGTTTTATACATCATTATGTTCAATATTTGTGCCTGAATCTGGATTTGTTTGGCAGTTTTTTGTCTTTGTGCCCAATAGCTGGTCAAAGAGTGATGAAATACAAAGATAGTTCATGCCAAAAACTAAAATAAAACCAAACAAACATTAAATCTTGTGTACTTTATCTGGTGTGAAGACAGAAGAAGTCTTACTAGTTAAAACTAGCAGGCATTTGAACCATGTTCTCATGTCATGCTTCAAATGACTCTTTGCTCATTCCTCAAAATTAGCGTTTAAACTTCACAAAGGTAAAAATATCCGCTCCCTTGTACAGAAAGCATATTCACTAAACTCAGCTAGAGTTCTCTTGTAAATATTCAGTGATAACGAAGTGAGTTCTTAAAAACAAAAAACAAAAAATGTCTGTATGAGTGAAATTTGCCCTGAAGTCACATCTGGAGTTAGGTCGTACAGAGGGTAGATGGGGACATAAACGCTGCCTGAGAAGCTCTTGGGGTCAAACTGAACCTGATGTTTGAAACATCCCAGAGCCATAGCTGTGTTCACAGTCACAAAGGTCTGACCTCAGCTGCAGTCACAATGACGCAGCGTCAGAAACATTTGTTCATCGGATGAACGTGACATTTGAAGAGCTACATTCAAATCATCCGTCCCCTATTCCAGTGGGGGTGATCGCAGTGATCAGAAATAAATAACAAACTAATGAGTATAGATAAGAAGTAATGTTTAGTTCTTAAAAATATACTATTGATCAAATAAATGAACATTTCCAGACACAGTCAGATCCGACTCACCTTTTTTGGACAGTCAAGTTTGAACATTATGTTGCTCAGCAATCACAGAACGGCTCCTTAACATGCCTAAATACCTACAAGTCCAAGGGTCAAACTCAGCTGAACTTTTCATCTGTCAGGGTGAAAACTAGAATTATTAATGGTCACTGGGCTGTCTGTTTGTATCGCAGACTGTGCAGTCTCTGCTTTAAGAGTATAAGACACCCTGTGTGGTTGTGTTTGGGTGTTCTGGTGAGTTTGTGAGAAACGTTACAGCGGATTACGCCGACACATCCTGAGTTTCAACCTCGCGTGCGTGTGTGTCACACCTCCGGGATGAATAGTGACAGCAACATAACCTAAGCAAGTGGCTAAAACTTGAGGTGGCTTGGACCTCATGCGTGTAAATGTGTGCGTAGGGCTGGAAGAAGAGCGTAAACATACATGAGCATGTGCTCGTATTTCTACGAATACTGGCTGCATCTCTTTCCTGTCTGATGGGATAATATGAAAGCCCACAGAGGACAAACACCTCCACCTGAGACTAAAAATGGGATTCATTTTGTGCCTTGTTTGCTTTCTGATTTTCTCTTTCATCCTCTTTGTGTTTGCCTCTGCAGCTTTTAGTAACGTGAAGCATGTGACGGACTGTTAATCCGTCTGAGAATTAATCCCTTTGAGATGCTGCGTTCTCGTCACTGTACGCTAGCTCTCCTGAGACCAGGAGCAGCTGTTTGTTTAACCTGAACAGAAAATATCATTTTCCAGTTGTGCCTTTCATCACTCTATTATTTATGTTGTACTGAAAACGGTGCTCACTTGCAATATTTTTCATTTTTATATCACCAATTCATCACTACATTGTAGGTTAAAGACCTTAAAATATTGCGTACCAGATTAAAACCCTATTTAATCGCATATTTCAGCTTGTCATTCGTTTTGTTGCACCTGACTTTATTAATCACCCAGTTTTGTTTTTCTTTCTCTACTTGCCTGGCAGCAATTCCCGGCTGTGAGCGGGGCCTTCATGGATTCTCCGTACAACGGCAACACGTCCTTGCAGACGTCCACGTCCAACCTCAACGCTGGCTATTCGCGGCCCTCGGAAGCCGAGGATGACGGCAAAGTGTCCAGTGACACCATTTGGCTGTGGATTGCTGTCCTGGCAACAATTGGCAACATAGTGGTGGTGGCTGTGGTTTGTGCCTGTGCCTTCTGACAAAGTAGAAGAGTGGAACAAAAAAATTCTGCTGCTGTCGGACATGGCAACTCTTGTATATTTTGAAAATATACTTTCTCTAGAAATGTTGTAAAATAGCCTTACTTTAAGACTGATCCCATGGATTATTTTTCTTTTAAATATAAGCATCAGTTTGAATTTTGCAGAGGAATTTGCATGGGAGTCTTTATTCCCACAGCCCCGTCACCCCACTCCTTTTTCAAAACGTAAAATCAGCGATCATATTGAAATAATTAGCTCACAGAATCTTTCTGTTCATTTGTACAGTTCCACAACCACAAAAGGAAAGCAACAATTAAGGTTGTGATATATGTTGGTACAGAAGTTCACTTTAACGTAAAATGTGACGAAATGGCTCATTGGCCAAACTCAGATGACGTGCATGTACATCATGTAGTTTGTTACACGATGCAGGAACTTTTCCCTTTTTTTAAAATTTCCAAAGTGAAAACTACATGTTACAGTTAAAAACAGACCTTTGTTCCCTTATGCAATGCACAGATTTAAAGACATTTCTGCTGTTACCCTTGTTCTGCCTGTTTCTAGAATGCTTCATTTGAGAGCACTATCATAATTCATTGGTTTCCTTTGTGTGTAACCTGTTTAATATGCATTAAAACCATGGCTATGACTCAGTTTTAATCCTGTGCACTTCTTTGTAAACAATTCTGATTGTTAAAGGCCACAGAAACTTGTCCTCGGGCTCGCCCTTTAAAGCTGAAGGACTAAAAGTGTCACAGCGATGTTTATTTTAGCCTCCGTGCAAACAGTGTATTAGCATTTTCTACTAGGCACTGCTACCTGAGCAAAATAGGAAATTTATTATTTATGAGTTATTTATTTTGGACTCTGGACAGAATAAAAGCTATGGTCCTAAAATTGTAGTAATATGCTTGCACGGGTCAGTTATTACGTAAACTGATTTTGAGCTGGTTACTCTGCAGGTTCAGCAGAGGTCAGCGTCACAACCACAAAGGATTAGATAAGATCAAGAGCCTGATCTCTTACGGGGACCAGAAGCCAGAAGGATGTCAACTGTTTGAAGCTTCACACTGATGAGTTAATGGTCAGAGGTTTGAGCAACCAGTGCACCGATGAGTTTTTATTTTTATAATCAGCAAACATACTGCTGGAAACCTGCACAGTAATATGCTTACTGTGATATGACCCATTCCTCTGTGGATTCACATTTTGATGCCTCAGGTTTCCCTCTTTACATTTAGGTTTTCTCTTGGCTTTCTGGAGTCAAGAGTGTAAAGAGTGTTATTTTTATCTTTATGGATGCGCCTTAATGGGAGAAACTCCATTCATACATACATACATTTCCCCCCATGGTGCTGGAGCCTATTCCAGCTGTGATAGGTTAAGAGGCGGGACACACCCTGGAGAGGTCACCAGTCTAATATCTACTAATACCTGCTAAAATAGTTCCAGATTGATACAAATGAATTCATTCAGTGACTAAAACTGGAGCACAAATGTCTTACATCACTAAAATGCTCCAAAAGGCACCAGCGAGTCAAGGCCAGTTTAGTGACTAAAATGAACTGAAATGACCCGTAGCAGGGAGCTAGTGGCAGTTTGGGAAACAGCCTATTGCTTAAGAGAGCCAGACTCCTACTGAATCAGTAGGAATTTAGGGACATTTTAGAACTTAAAGAGATCAGTTAATAAAAACAAAATTCTTCACTCTACTTCTTGGAAATTAGATGATATATTGTGCATATTAACATTATGTGTTTACAATGTATAAACATTTGTTTTAGGGTCGGAATATTAACATGTTCAAAATAAGTCTGGGACAAATGGCGTGCCAACTTTATGAGCTACTAATGTGTATATTTTTAGCTTTATAAATATATCTTTCAATCTCTCTCACTACAGCGCCGTATTTACTGTTTGTCCACACTGAAAAATCCAAAGCATGCTTATACTTACAGCAGAGCTGTAATGAACAATCAATTATGTCAGTTTTGAGCTGCAAGAACAACTATGCCATGACTAAAGTGCTTTTTTCATTAGTCAGTGCTCCAGCAAAATCTAGTTGTCCCAGTGTGTTTTCTTTCAAGAAGCTGTGGCACCCTTTAAAAGCCCAGAGGAAAGAAACTCTTTGTAGAAAGAAATGGGGCTCAATGGGATTGAGCAGTGATTTGTTCAAATTTAACAACCAGGAGAGGTCATGCGGAGGCACATCTTTCGGTCAGGGTTACATTTGCCCCATTATGATGATGGTGGATACATCATTTAAAAAGTGTAGTGCCATTTGCTTTCAGCTTCCTTCCAATCACTGAGATTGTTAGAGGAGGAATTAGCTTTGATAAAGGCAACAGCAAAGAAAGAATGACACAAGAGCAGAGAGAGGACAAAGAGATAAGAAATCAGAGAGATGAGGAAAGATCACAAGAGGTCAGAAGTAATGGAAAGAAAGTTGAGACTTGCAAGTTCAGTTAAAAAGAAAAATCTGAGGTTCGCCTGTTTCCAGGATCTGAGGGAAACTCCAGAGTCTGGTGATAAAATGTCACTTAAAGTGAGTCCATTTACATACAAGTAAATGGACTGTATTTATATAGCGCTTTACTAGTCCCTAAGGACCCCAAAGCGCTTTACATATCCAGTCTTCCACCCATTCACGCATACATTCACACACTGTTAATGCATTACACAATTATATAAAAAGCAATTAAGGGCTGTTTTACCCAAAATATAATTGCAACCCACAATTTCTCTTAACCTTAATAATGACATAATTTCAGCTAAAAACAGGAAACCAAGGCTACAATATGCACAGTTTATCAGAATTGGACAACAGAAGATTGGAAAAACATTTCCTGGTCTAATACATTTTTAGGGAAACCATGGACCATGGAAGCACGGCTCCATCCTGCTTTGTACCAACAGTTCAGCTGCTATTGGTGTAATAGTGTGAAGGATAACTGAGCATCATTAAAATGGTAGTAAATATTTCTGCCGACTGCGTCCATCCTTCAGTTATACTTCAATTCAATTTTATTTATATAGCGCCAAATCACAACAACAGTTACCTCAAGGCGCTTTATATTGTACAGTAGATCCTATAATAAGAGATATAGAGAAAAATCCAACAATCATATGACCCCCTGTGAGCAAGCGCTTTGGCGACAGTGGGAAGGAAAAACTCCCTTTTAACAGGAAGAAACCTCCGGCAGAACCAAGCTCAGGGAGGGGCGGCCATCTGCTGCTGCTTAGGGTGAGAGAAGGAAAACGGGATAAAGACATGCTGTGGAAGAGAGACAGAGGTTAATAACAGGTATGATTCAATGCAGAGAAGTGACTGGAAAGGAAAAACTCAATGCATCATGGGAATCCCCCGGCAGCCTACGTCTATTGCAGCATAACTAAGGGAGGATTCAGGGTCACCTGGTCCAGCCCTAACTATATGCTTTAGCAAAAAGGAACGTTTTAAGCCTAATCTTAAAAGTAGAGATAGTGTCTGTCTCCCGAATCCAAACTGGAAGCTGGTTCCACAGAAGAGGGGCCTGAAAACTGAAGGCTCTCCCTCCCATTCTACTTTTAAATACTCTAGGAACAACAAGTAGGCCTGCAGAGCGAGAGCGAAGTGCTCTAATGGGGTGGTATGGTATTATAAGTTTATTAGGGTAAGATGAGGCCTGTTATTTAAGACCTTGTATGTGAGGAGCAGGATTTTGAATTCAATTCTGGATCTGGAGCCAATGAAGGGAAGCCAAAACAGGAGAAATCTGCTCTCTCTTTCTAGTCCCTGTCAGGACTCTTGCTGCAGCATTTTGGATTAGCTGAAGGCTTTTCAGCGAGTTTTTTGGACATCCTGATAATAATGAATAACAGTCGTCCAGCCTGGAAGTAATAAACGCATGAACTAGTTTTTCAGCGTCACTCTGAGATATTTCTAATTTTAGAGATGCTGCGCAAATCAGCAGTCTTACATATTTGTTTAATATGTGCGTTGAAGAACATGTCCTGGTCAAAAATGACTCCAAGGTTCCTCACAGCGTTACTGGAGGCCAAGGTAACGCCATCCAGAGTAAGAATCTGGTTAGATACAATATTTCTAAGCTTTTCAGGGCCGAGTACAATAACCTCAATTTAATCTGAATTAAGAAGCAGAAAGTTAGCGGCCATCCAGGTCTTTATGTCTTTAAGACATTCCTGCAGTTTAACTAATTGGTGTGTGTTATCTGAGTACTTAGTTATCAACATGCTGTTGTGCACTATGTAGTTTTAACCCATCAGTTTTTTGTCTTTAATTGCATGTGTTTCTACATATGCATGTGTTTGCATGTGTATCTCAGCATCTCTCTGTTAAAGATTTAGTCTAGAGTGAATTGCGTCATTGTCCTGTCAGTCCTCAGCAGACTAATGAGCTGTAATGTGCCTCTTGAGCTTCCTACTCATTTAAAATAACTTTCATTTCCTTGCTTGATTATCCTAGAGGGAAGTGTTTCCCCACAGGCTTTAGATCGGTCACAGCAGATCAGCTCTCTGTGGCTAACTTTATTAGAAGATAATTTTGCAGAGAGAGCTGCCAGAGTCCAGAGAGAACAAAAAGAACAGAAATGAGAAAGACTTTGTCATGATAGTCATCAGAGGCAAAAAGGCGATGAGTGACACAAAAAGTAAAAGAGGAATATGTGGATGGGAAAGGGAAGATAATGAAGGTGGAAATGCATCGTGCTCATTTCTTGGCATTAATAAACTGACTTCAGACACCTGACAAGGAAAGAGACACTGGATAGGAGTGAGAGAGGAAATGAGAGGATAAGTGCGATGATGGATTAGAGGAGACAAAGGAAAAATGGGAAGAGGTAGTGTGAGGAGGATGATTTTTGAAAGAGTGGTAGTCATTATCAACCATGTCATGTCGGGTGGGAATGAGAATAAATTAGTAATAATTAAAACTTTAAAGTGAGATTATGGCAAGAAAAAAATCTAGTGGGGTAAAAAAATAAACGTTATGTTTGTAAAGGAAAGTACCCAATTATAGCACATAAAGGCCGGCTGGCACATTCATGCTATTCTAATTTTCTTCTTTTCATTTTAAAGCTTGGACCTACAGTATTAGCCCAAAAGATATCAGTATGTTCTTACCCAGTGATAACAAGCTTAGCCTGACTTATCTGATTCCACAAAGACATATAAACTTATATATAACGGAAACCCACCAGATAGGAAGGCTCTTTGGCTGTCTTTGTCAACATCTTCATCCTACTTTCTAATTCCCAGTGCTTAGTAACTCCAATCTCTTAACTACATGAAAATCCTTTAACTACACGTGTTTAATGTAAATGTCAAATATTCTGATGTCACACGTTTTCTCTTGCTGTTATTGTGCTGAGCGATCCCTATACTGTAGATTGCTATAGAAAAAGAGGTAGCATAAATAGGCTCCCTTGCATTGCTCATTTGCAGCAAGTAAAATTAAATACATCCTCCACACTAGACATGAACCCAAGATGGCAGCATAACAAGCTAAATGATCCATAAAACTGAAGCGCAAGAGGAACCGAGCAGCTGGGGTTCATCTCAGCTCCTTGCAGAGTCTGACCCTGAATATATCAGCTCGAGGGTTTTGCCCTGTCAGCAGGGTTAAGTCAGGTTAACTGGCAACCTTTTTCTTACTGTAAGCC